GACAGGGAGCCAGTGAAGCGATTTCAGGATGGGGGTGATGTGATCTTGTTTGCTCACCTTCATCTGGATCCTTGCAGCGCTGTTCTGTATGTATTGCAGTCTCTGTATGCTCTTGCCATAGATCCCGATGAGGAGTGCATTACAGTAGTCCAGTCTGGAGGAGACAAAAGCGTGGACGAGCTTCTCTGCATCTGCCAGGGTGAGTGTTGGACAGAGTTTGGCGATGTTCCTGAGGTTGTGGAATGAGGTCTTGCAGAGGTGTTTGATGTGGGTGTCAAAGGTGAGTTGTGAGTCCATTTTAACACCCAGGTTGGTGACAGATGTGGAAAAGGGGATGTTTTGGCCAGATAAAGTGATACTGCTAATGGTGGAAGAGCGGAGCTGATGTGGTGTGCCGACTAGGATGACTTCCATTTTGGAACTGTTTAGCTGTAGGAAGTTGAGCTTCATTCATGCCTCTATCTCCTCCAGGCAGGTGGTTAATGTGGATGTTGGCAGGGGAGCAGAAGAAGTGGGGGTTGTCCTGAGGTAGAACTGTGTGTCATCAGCATAGCAATGGTAGGATATCCCATGCTTGCTGATGACATTGCCCAGGGGGAGCAGGTAGAGGGAGAAGAGGGTGGGGCCCAGCACTGAGCCCTGAGGGACACCACAGGTGACGTTGTGGGTGAGTGATTTAGCTTTGCCCAGGGCAACGTGCTTGGTTCTGTCGGTCAGATATGAGGAGAACCAGTTGTGTTCATTTTCTGAGAGTCCAATGGTGTATTGCAGGCGGTGGAGGAGGATGTTGTGGTCAACTGTATCAAAAGCAGCTGTTAGGTCCAGGAGGATGAGTAGAGATGTGGAACCGGTGTCTGCTGACCAAGGCTGTTTCTGTGCTATGGCCAGGGCAGAAACCAGACTGAAACTTCTCAAAAAGGTTATTGTGTTTGAGGTGATCCTGAAGTTGTGGTTACGGTTTCATTTTTCTGATGACGTCCTCCACCTCTTCCTGTGTGACATCAGAGAAGGTGCAGAGGGGCTGGAAAATCTCAAACGGTCAGTCGGCAGTTGGGGGAGGGGGGGCAGGACAGCAGTGGTGGAGAGGTGTGAGCGAATGTTATCAACCCCTGGAATGTGTGGGGACATCAACATGTTGTTGTAGGTTGAGGGAGTCTAGCAGCTGAAGGAAATTGGCAGCGGACTGGCATGAGGGGGTGTCGACATGAATATTTATATCTCCCAGGATTATGATATTGGCGGAGGTAGTACAGAGTGTTATGAGGAGATCAGACATTTCCAGGATGAAAGCAGAGTTTGGTTTTGGTGGCCGGTAGATGAGGAGAACAGTCATGGGAAAGGGGGGCTTACATTTAAATGCAAGACACTCGCAGGAGGATGTTGTATGCAGCGAGATGGGGGACAACTCCAGGTCCTGTCGATGGATGACAGCTAGGCCACCACCGCGGCCAGTGCTGCGAGCTGCCTCCAAGTAGCTGTACAGGCTTCATTGAGGGCAGAGTAAACCTCTGGCTGGTGCCAGGTTTCTGTCAAACACATGAAGTCAAGTCCTTTTTCCCTGATGTGTTCTTCAGTCAGGGTGGAATTATTGTTGATGGATTGAGTGTTGAAAAGTTCGAATTTGACCAATGACTGTGGGTTGAGTCTCTGTACAGGTCGCAAAACATTGAAATCCACTCCGTGCAGACTGGAATCCACTCCACGAGATCCATCCAGCCGAGAGCGCAGGGATCTCGCGGTGTTTCCCATGCTGGAGTGCAGAGATCTTGCTGTGTTTCCCGTGTTGATGGTAGCTGGAGTGACGGTGCTCTGATTATGCATCAGACGTGCGACGGATGACCAGAGAGATGGGATGTTTGTAGCAGAGCAGCTTGGCTGGTTATGGAAGATGAATTTTCGACCAGAGCCTCTGTGAATGTAACGAGGGCAGCGAAGAAGTCTAAGTTCGTTGATGATGGGGATGTTAAGTCCAGGAGTGGTTGCAGGGTTTAGTAGGCGGAGTTGCAAGCTGGAATAGCTGAACATCATGCTGACCAAGGAGGAATGCTGCCTAGCCTCGCTAACTGCTAGCCAGATAGTGTTAGCACCAAGTACTGGATAGGTGGTGGAAACGAGGAAAGTTGTCCGTCAAGGCGATACGATGGTTGGATCCAGAGAGCCCTTTTCCATGTGGGACAAGGTTGACAGCTGGAAATCGTCTGTAGCAGGTAGGTGCCTAGCTACCTAGCTACACCACTGGTAGAAAAAAGGATCCGAAGTCCAGAAAAATAGATCACAAGGCTTGTAAAAATGTCACAATTGCGCAAAAATAGCACAGAAAACTATAGGAGCAATCAAAAATCGTGGGTGGAGAAGCAGCAAACAAACAACGCCAGCGTCCTCCCCTCCCCGGATCTTGTGTAGACAATGTAATCTGAAGGAGATCAGTGACTGCAAAGTCATGGTAGGTGAGAGTGTAGCCAGACAGCGTAGGATGGTGGTGTGTAGGATGACTCTGGTGGTGAGGAAGATGAAGAGGACAAAGGCAGATCAGAGGATGAAGTGGTGGAAGCTGAAAAAGGAAGAGTGTTGTGTGGTTTTCAGGGAGGAGTTGAGACAGACTGTGGGTGGCCAGGAGGTGCTCCCAAATGGAGTGCTTGGTGTGTCATCTGGAAGGAAAGGAGATAAGCAGACCTGGTGGTGGATTGAGGAAGTGCAGGAATGTATACAGAGAAAGAGGTTAGCTAAGAAGAAGTGGGACACTGAGAGGAGTGAAGAGAGTAGACAGGAGTACAGGAAGGTTCAGCGTAAGGTGAATGTAGGGGTGGCAAAGGCAAACAAAGGGCGTACGACAACTTGTATGATACCTTGGACAGTAAGGAGGGAGAGACTGATTTATACAGGTTGGTGAGGCAGAGAGAGATAGAGATGGGAAGGACATGCAGCAGGTTAGGGTGATTAAGGATAGAGATGGGAATGTACTGACAGATGCCACAAGTGTGATGGGAAGATGGAACGAGTACTTTGACATAACTCCTTGAGATCAGGTGGAGAGATCCACCAATTAGTCCTCTCAGAAGAAAATCCAGGAAGAGGAAGGTTATTTAAGTGTGGGAGTGGCCTATTTGAATCCCTTTTGTTTGGGACCATGCTGCAAGGTGAGTGTGTTTGCTGATTCTGTGAGTTAATCTTTTCTATCTCCTTTAACTTTAGCTTATATTGGAGTTATGATATGTAGCGTGTGAAATAGGGTATGTTGAATGTGCTAGGAAATTTAGTATCGGCACGGTCACTACCTGGAGCTCGCATAAACGGAGCCTGGGTTTGTTGAAGGTGGCAGTGCTGTTTGGGCTGAGAAAGCCATGTGTAGTGTAAGTGTAGCAGTAGGTCACTAGGACTCTGCAGAGGCCAGAGACCAATCAGGTGAGACAGGAACTGGAGGAGGGGCTGATTGGCAGCAGGTGAGACTGCAGGTGTGACTACAGGCTTCACTCTCCTCAGGCAAGGTCCTTTGTGTGCACTCCATGTGGCTTTGACTGTTTTAGATTCCCTGTGACTCTGGTAAGCTGGACTTTTGGGGTCTGTAGCATTGTTTTTATATTCATGTTAGCATTTTAATTGTTAGGGTACTGTAGGGGTGCATGCACCCCGAGGTATTTGTATTTTAATGATTATAATAGTGGATATGCCATAACTTGTTTGTAGGAAGAAAAGACTGAAAAGTTGACTATCTTTACAAAGGTATGTAAAACATGCAGCATTTAAACATTGTAATGTTTCCTGCAAACTAAATCAACAGTGCTTTGTTTGTTTCCAGGCGTAGCGCTGACTGCAGTTTATTTTAGTTTAGTTTTGGGAACATACCTGATGCCTACGTCACAAAATGCCATCCACCACTAGGTCGCTCTGACCATAATGTAATCCATCTACTACCAAGATACAGGCAAAGACTTAAAGGGGACATATTATGCAAAACTCACTTTTTCGTTGCTTTAGTATGTATATTTGCATATCCGGAGTGCCTCCCCACCCCTTAAGAATGATTTTCGACCACTAAGTCAATGTTTTGTAAACTTGCTGAGTCAGGAAATGTGTCTCTAGAAGAGCCTTTTAGATTTCACCCGCACTGTTACGTAACAGTCCAGGTGAAATCTGAGTGATATGAATACTCCCACCCTCACGCTGGGTATCTCCTCCCATATTACGCCGGCTACCTGAACGAGGATCCGCCATGACAGCCTGACCGCTACCATGTACAACCCGAAAGCCAAGCACTCCTGCTCTGTCGTCGGATGCACGGATACTCATGTTTCCCTACATCGCCTCCCTGCCAAAGAGGATATCAGAGCGAAGTGGCTAAATTTTATTTTTCAGGGAAACGTCCCAGCTTCAGTGAGCAAAAGCGTTTTTGTCTGTGCCAATCACTTCACGCCGGACTGTTTCAGCAACGAGGGTCAGTATAAGGCTGGACTGGCAACGAGATTGTTCCTAAAAGATGGATCCATACCCACTGTCCGTGGCGACGCCACAGATGAAGGAACTGTAAGTATTAAAAAAACAGTGTAGTTTGTGTTACTTTGGCTGTTTAGCACATGAGCTAACGCTAACCGTCGATGTAAATATGAGGCTGAACTAACGTTACAACGTTGGGCTTACTGGCCATAGGATTCACGGTAATGTTAATGTTGCCAAACGTTAATTTGTCATATCAGCACTCTTAAAATGAATTAGGATATTGAGATTTGATGGCTTCTAACCGGCCGGTGAACCACTGCGCGGCCGTGAACATGCTAGCTGGCGCTAGCTAGCGCTAGCTGCTAGCTAGCTCACCGTCCGCGAACAATTTCTCAGTTGTTAGTGCTGCTGTTCCGACGTGATCACGCATGGGAGACCGTCTCCTCCACATGCTCACGGCCGAGCAGACTGTATGAAATGGTCTCAGTTGTTCACGGACGGTGAGCTATTGTTCCGCCGTGAACACGCAGAGAGGACGGCATGAAATGGTCTGTTATTCACGGCCAGTGAGCTACGTTAATTAATTAGCATGTTGTGCTAAAGGACAGTGTGTTAGATGCCCAGGAGCACCTTGGCAGTCGAACGACTTCCTTTGTGTTGGTATGCATGTAACTACGTGTGTAGTGTTAGCTGCTGGCATGAGAGACCCGATCTGAGAGTACCAAAACGTTATCTGCAGTAAAGCAATCACTACTTTGTTTTGGAGCCGGAGACAGGGGTTACCTGCCACATGTCTGCTGTGTTGTGCTACGATTAACGTTAGTTATATGCAGGCACGGACACAGAAAAGTTGCTTCGCAAATGTGTATTGCTCACTTACTAAATCTAATGTGAAATGAGGGATTTGCGTGGGTTTGCTCGGATTATGATTTGCCAGATTTTGCCTTATCAAATTGATTTTTTAATCATCATTTCTGTCTACATAGCTTTGTTTCATGTAACATGAGAAAACAGACACATAACATATTATCTCCTTTTGTGTTTAGCCAAGCACATCTGTACAGCAGCCTGTGGTGCATCATGTTGCCTGCCAGACAGACCAACCAGTGACATGCACAGTTGGCACACAGCTTTCCATGAGAACTCTCCAGCCTCACTTCAGAAGCACAGGTTTGTTGAACAAAAGCATATGATGTAATGTTAGTCACTATGTTACTCTAATATGTAATTTTTGTTTTACTCTGTTATGAATATGGATTGGCTAATGAAAATTCTGTTTTCATCTATCAAAGGCACACAGAAATCAGTGTCCTGTGCTGATGTTGGAGTTGGCACCTCAACCATTGCCTTCTCAACTTCTCAACCATTCTTATCATCAACCCCAATAAAGAGACCACGCAAAAGGGCTCGCTTGGAACTGGAGGAGGAGGAAGAGGAGAATCCATTGGAGGGCAGTTCATCCATGGACATTCCCGACCCCAAGGATTCTTCGTATGATCCTGAGGACTCTGTCACAGTTTTGTCTGAGTCAGCAGATGTGACGTGAGTAAATAACCTCAGAATTTACTTCTTTTTTTTTTTTACATTATTTGTTTCAAGTAGTATGGGAGTTACTAATTTATCTTTGCAATTTTTGTTTTTCTACTAGACTGGAGCCTTCCTGCCCTGTTCATAAGACACCAGCATATATTGTCTATGAAAAGTGTCTGATGGAGCTGTTTGAGGTGTGCCCTGTCTGTCAGCGTGTTTCAGACGTGCAGACAAGAAGGATAGGCACGTTCCTCTCTGTAGAACAGACATGCCCACATTGTCAGTTCTTCAGAAAATGGAACAGCCAGCCAATTCTGGGAAGCACACCTGCAGGAAACCTCCAGCTTTCAGCTGCAGTATACACCACAGGTGCATCTTTCTTCAAACTTGAAAAGGTAATGGATTAAGACTTCACTATGTAATTTTATTTGTTTTGCATATCATATTGCTAAATGTTGTATAGAGCAGTACTTATGACACATCTTGTCTGTCTGTCCTCAGATCTTCCGGGCAATGCAGCTGAAGATGTTTCAGTATGACACTTTTCGCCGTCATGCACGGACGTACATAGAGCCTGCCATCATACACACGTGGAAGACTGTGCAGGACGCCATGATGGAGCAGCTTAGTCAGCAGGAGAGTGTTATCCTAGGTGGCGACCTAAGGGCTGACTCACCAGGTATACAAGATTCTCTGATACATTTTACTCTAATTTTTTTGTTTAGAAAAGTGGTTACTATGAAGTACAACAAAGTGATATGTAAAATGTAATTTTTGTGAAATGATGCATTTATTTTTGAAGGGCACTCTGCCAAGTTTGGCAGTTACTCAATGATGGACCTGAGGAGCAACACTATTATTGACATACAGCTGGTTCAGGTGAGTTCAAAGGTGTGATCTGTATTCAAGTTAACTAATCTGTGTTTAACGAGTGCTTTTAAAAATCATTTTGTTTAATAGACTTTTATGTTCTGTTTTTGTGTTTTTCTGATCAGAGCAACGAAGTTGGTGGAAGTTATCACATGGAGAAAGAAGGTCTGAAGAGGAGCCTTGCTCTCTTGGAGGCACGTGGTGTTGCATTGGACAGCATTGTCACAGACCGTCACCCTCAGATCCAGAAGTTCCTGAGGGAGGCCAAAGTGACACAGTACTACGATGTCTGGCACATGGAAAAAGGTATTCGTTACTGTGTTTGTGTGTTAGACGGTGAAAATCAGGATAAAATGCCCTTGCTCACAGGTTCACACACTATATTTTCCTAGTATCATAATTACTAATGTGTTACATGGGTTAGGGTTACGTGTTTTGTTTTCAACATATACTGTTTATCTGAACGTGACTGAAATATTGTTTTATTAGGACTGTCCAAAAAACTGGTCAAGATAGCCCAGAACAAAGATTGCGCGAAGCTGAAGAAGTGGCTTCGCAGCATAAAGAACCATGTGTACTGGACAGCAGCCTCCTCTACGTCAGGGCCAGAGAGAGTGGCTAAGTGGACCTCCATTCTTAACCATGTCCAAGACATTCACACACATCAAGATCCTGCTTTCCCCCAGTGCTTGCATCCGCAGCGCACCTCGAGAGACAAGAGCAAATGGTTGACAGCAGGTAGATAGACACACAAAATTGTGTGTAAAATGTGTTTTTTTATATATATATCTAAAAGATGTTTAAACCATTTGAATTCATGTGTTTTGTTTTTTCAGGAACACCAGCTTTCTGCAGGCTAGAAAAGGCGTTGACTAATAAGAGAATTCTGAAAGATGTGGAAAAGCTCAGCCCTCACTATCAGACCTCATCGCTGGAGGCATTTCACAGCGTCATTCTGCGGTTTGCACCCAAGAATGTTGTCTTCCCCTACCTTGGAATGTTATGCAGGTGAATAAAACATCACTATCTGTTTAGTTCATTATAGTTTAGTGTGCTTGCTATGATTTTTAAAGTACTATTTTTCCACCCAAGACTCTACCTGGCTGCCCTGCATTACAATGAAAATACTGGCCGACCACAGGCAACATCTACAAGTGGAGAGCTGCTGTACAGAGTCAACTTCCCCAAATCTAAACATGGAGAATGCACCGCAAAGCCTGTGAAAGCAGAGCCAACATTCCGTAAGTTTTAAAATCTTTTATTTGAACCCAACAAATTAAAATAAACATGAACACACAAGCATAACACAAAAGGTTGAAAATAAACACAAATAAAATCTGAATTCTTTTTAGATGGTTTTCAAAATAAATAATAAATAAGGAGAATGTATAAATTAGGAGAAATAAGAAGAGACACTTTACAACACTGCAGCACAAGGCTTTTTGGTTCTAGTGCAATTTTCTTGTAAACATTAATTTTTGTTTATTGCACTGCAGACTACGTTGATGCACTGTTGGACCTGATCTTCGAGAAGGTTTTCCAGGACCCTGCCCCATATGTGAACGAGGTGCTGAAACTTACAATCCCTGAAGACCTCTCTGCTCAGTATGAAAGACCCGACAAGCTGGATGTTATAGCCAGTTACGTGTCAAGGTTCAACCAAGGACAGGTCTGAACCCAACATACTGTCCTTCTGCGTCAGGGAACTCTGCACGAATCCTTAGCACCACGCAGGCAGGCAGCACAACTCTCACTCTCCGCCCCAGAAAGCCCCAGCACCAGCTTACAAAGCTTCTGTAGGCTAGGTATCTATATTGGCTGGACACAATTCAATAGAAAGTCAGCACTGAATGTTCACATCCATGGCAACTGGCAAGTTCAACTGTTCCACTTCAGATATTTATTTTGTATGTTTACAAATGTTTCTTGCAATAAAACATCTTTACTAACTGTTCTGTGTGTTTTCATTGTTTGATATGTAGTTGTGTTACCATGTTACCAAGTAAAAAATAGTAAAGATAAACTATAAACAATGTAAGATAGGGAAAGCAGTTATGTACTTTTCATCATAACACTTTTGCAATAAATTAATAGTATTTATAGGACTAAAAGCTTACTGCACTATTCCCCTCAGACGTAAAGGTCCATAGTCTGCCCGATAAATGTTTAGTGCATTCTGCAGTGAAAATACATTCAGGCAGACAGGTTCTAGGCCAGGATGGTCCACCATGCATGATGGTGGCTCAGGAAGCTGCTGTAGTCTTCGTGTAACCTAGAAATTATGAAAGGTAAGTGAGTGACAATGGATAACAGAAAAGAGAGACTGTAAAATGACAACCATGTTTGCCCAGTGTTCACACTTACTTGTGGTATTTCCATACAGCAGATATTCTCGGGCTCTGTAGGCATTTGTTCACAATTGCCACAGGAACTCCTGTTTTTAAACAGAATTTGTGTTATTCATTGGAAACTACATAACTAATCAATCACGACGCGTTGCTTCTTTTGTAATATTTATTTAAAGTTCATAAACTGTTGGAACCGGTTCAAAAACAATACTGCTGGTAAAGAGGTGATGGGAGGCAACTGGCTCATTGAAAACTTCAGTTGTTGAAAATTGTGGCAGTAGCTATTTACAGGTCGTCACTGCAAATAAGAGCAGGTTCTCAACAGACTTACCTGGCTACATAAAGGTAAATTAAAATAAATAAATAATATGGGGTTATGCTTTTCTCTAGTATGGGCGAGTGCTCAATTGCATCCGCGTTACTACAAGTGAACAGCAGTAAACGCCAGCCGAGGTTTGGCGAAGATTTATGATGTAAACACTCTAGGCAGGAGAAGGGGGTTGTGATCTGTAACAACATGGGAAGACGGCCACTAAGCCAGTAAAACTTTCGTTAGTCTATGCAGTAACATAAAAGTAATGTCGAGGTAACAAACTTAACTACTAACCACTGAGAAACATCCATGTTCATTCTTGGCTGCTGACTTTCTTCTGGAGCGTCTTGTTGTTCAGGGTCGGACTCCGGCTCGAACATGTACGGTTGCACCGCAGTCTGTTGTCCTGCAGCCATTTCTTTCACAAACTCAGCCGTTGCCATGGTCACACGGTGCCGGCCTCACGTCTTCCACAGGCAGGAAAAGGTGGGCGGCGCAAATACCGTCTCTGGACAGCGCACGCAGTAGCTCATTAGCATTTAAAGGGAAAGGCACTGAAACCGGCCATCTGGAGCAGGGCTGTGAAACTGGTATTTCAAGAACCCTGCTGTGCTCAATCCTTCAGCTTTTTCGACCAAAGCATGTTACTAACGTACCATTTAGACATCAGGGAACCTTGTCAGGAAGCAGAAATGAGCATAATATGTCACCTTTAAATCTCATCCCATAGTGACTAAAACCATCCCCATGTGGACCAATGAAGCAGTAGAACAACTGCGAGGATGCATGGAAGTTACAGACTGGGATGTTTTCTTTGAAGGATGTGATAACAATATGGACCTTCTCACTGACTCACTTACCTCATATCTGCAGTTTTGCACAGAATCTGTCATTCCAATAAAAACTGTAAGGGTATATTCAAATAACAAACCATGGATCACAAAAGATCTCAAACGAGCTCTGATCCAAAAGAAATATGCCTTTTTACAGGGAAATCAGAATGAACTTAATTCCATGAATGAGGAATTACGATGCAAGATAAGAGATGGGAAACGTGAGTACAAAAGAAAGGTGGAGGTGAAGTTGTCTGGTGGTGATGTAAGAGAGGCATGGAAAGGCCTCAACTTGATGATGGGCAGAACACAGGAAAAACAAAGCATACAACATAATGACCCTATCAAATTTGCAAATGAACTCAACTCCTTTTTTGGCCATTTTAACCGGCAGCAACATGCAACTGTACAATCCCCTGTTATTATGAATGAAAATAAATCTTTCCAGATAACAACAGCTGAGGTGGTGGCCGCTCTTAAAAAGGTGAACCCACACAAAGCTAAAGGACCTGATGGACTGGAAGGGAGAATTCTGAAAAACTGTGCTGAACAGCTAGGAAACGTAATGACCAGACTTTTACAGCTGCTCATGGACACAGGTTTGGTTCCAACAATTTGGAAAACATCCACAATAATCCCTATTCCAAAAGAAACTGGAGCCAAAGAACTGCAGGACTTCCGACCTGTTGCTCTAACATCCATTCTCAGTAAATGCATGGAGAGAGTCATATGTAACCATCTAAAAACTGAACTCTGTGAACAACTAGACCCACTGCAGTTTGCTTATAGAGCCAGGCGTGGGGTGGAGGATGCCAGCTTGACTCGAATACAAGCAGTGACTTAACATCTGGATAAACCAAAAGCTTGTGCACGGATTCTTTTCATGGACTTTTCCTCTGCATTTAAAACTGTAAATACCGACATTTTATAATCACATCTTTTTAATCTGCAAGTAAACTCTGCCATTATTCTCTGGATAAAAGAATTTTTATATAACCGACCTCAAAAAGTCAAGGTAAATAATTTCATGTCTGACAGCCTGGTGCTAAATACTGGAGTTCCTCAAGGTTACATTTTATCACTGATTTTATTTTCTGTTCATACAAATGAGATCAAGTGCAACATACATACCTTATTGATTTTATTGTTTTTATTGTTTAGTGTAGGTTTGACTTTGTCTAGTTTTAGAGTTTTAATCTTCTGTCTACTTGTGTTTCTAGTGCTGTGGCTGGTGGGGTCCTCCATTCACAGGTGTGGTTGGGGTGCTGGGAGTTCACTCACTCTAGATGGTGATATGGTTTGTGGTTGCACATTAGTGTGGTGTTTTATTTGAAGTGTGTTTAGGTTTATAATATTTCTTTTGAATAAGTAGTATACTCCTAGTGCCCTAGCAGTGAGTGGTTGGTTTCCCAGTCGTAGTATGACTGTCTGTCCTCTTGTTCTTTCTTGCCTGTGTTCTTAAAGTTTTAGTAAATTGTAAAATAAATGGCCTGTTATGGCATGACCCACACTGGCTGTTGTGTCCCCTTTATTGAAGCCCCTGTACTCCGTTAAGGTTACATAAGGTGAAGGAGGTTGTTGGGTTGGTGCAGGGAGCAGTGAGACCTGGCATTAGGGGAGTGTCTCTGGGATGCCAGAGATCACTGTCTAGCTTCCTGGAGGTGTCGTGGGACCAACTAGACGAAACACTGGTGAAAGGAGGTTCCCACCTGATGACCCCAAAGACGTGTTAGTTATCACTGCTCATTGGTCTGTATAGTTAAGCCTTGCCATAATATATTATCATAGGGCTTAGGAGGTTATTTACTGAGCGCTGATCCTTTATCTAGAACACAAATTTCTTGCGTTAATTTGAACTTGAAGAGTTGATGAATGAGGAAAATGAGAGATAACAAAGAGTAGAAGAGGTGACCTTGTGGAGCAGGAAGTAGCAAAGATTAGTAAGGATGAAGTGAGGAGGGCATTGGCAGTTGGTCCTGATGATATACCTCTGGAGCTATGGAAGTGCCTAGGAGAGGTGGCAGTAGAGTTTTTGACTAGGTTTTGACTAAGTCTTAGAGAGTGAGAGGAGTCCTGAGGAATGGAGAAGAAGTGTGCTGGTGCTGATCTTTAAGAACAAGGGAGACGTGCAGAGTTGTGGCAACTACAGAGGGATAAAAAAGATGAGCCATACAATGAAGCTATGGGAAAGAGTAGTGAAAGCTAGACCTAGAGCAGAAGTGAGCATCTGTGAGCAGCAGTATGGTTTCATGCCAAGAAAAAGTACTACAGAATGCAGTATTTGCTTTGAGGATACTGATGGAGAAGTGCAGAGAAGCTCAGAGGGAACTGCATTGTGTCTTTATAGATCTAGAGAAAGCATATGACAGGGTGCCGTGAGAGGAGATGTGGTATTGTATGAGGAAGTCTGGAGTGGCAGAGAAATATGTTAGAGTGGTGCAGGACATGTATGAGAGCTGTCGGACAGTGGTGAGGTGTGCTGTAGGTGTGACAGAGGAGTTTAAGGTGGAAGTTGGACTGCATCAAGGATCAGCTCTGAGCCCCTTCTTGTTTGCTAAGGTGATGGACAGGTTAACTGATGAGGTTAGACACGAATCTCCATGGACTATGATGTTTGCAGATGACATTGTGATCTGCGGTGAGAGCACGGAGCAGGTGGAGGAAAATCTAGAGAGGTGGAGGTATGCCCTGGAAAGGAGAGGAATGAAGGTTTGTCGTAGCAAGACAGAATACATGTGTGTGAATGAGAAGGACCCAAGTGGAATGGTGAGGCTACAGGGAGTAGAAATAAAGAAGGTGGAGGATTTTAAGTACTTAGGGTCAACAGTCCAGAGCAATTGAGAGTGTGGAAAATAGGTGAAGAAATCTGTGCAAGCAGGTTGGAATGGGTGGAGAAAAGTGTCAGGTGTGATGTGTGATAGAAGACTACCAGCAAGATTAAAAGGAAAGGTGTACAAGACGGTGATAGACCAGCGATGTTGTTCGGTTTAGAGACAGTGGCACTAAGGAAAAGACAGGAGGCAGAGCTGGAGGTAGCAGAGATGACAGTTTTGAGGTTCTCTTTGGGAGTGATGAGGATGGATAGGATCAGGAATGAGTACATCAGATGGACAGCTCATGTTAGATTCTTTGGAGATGAAGCCAGAGAGGACATACTGAGATGATTTGGTATGTCCTATGATATAGTGGGATAGTGAATATATCGGTAGAAGGATGCTGAGATTGGAACTGCCAGGCAAGAGGCCTAAAGGAAGACCAAAGAGGAGATTTATGGATGTCGTGAAAGAGGACATGAAATCAGTTGATGTGAGAGAAGAGGATAAGGTTAGATGGAGGCAGATGATTCGCTGTGGTGACCCCTAAAAGGAACAGCCGAAAGAATAAGATACATATATATATATTTTTTTTTCTGCTCTAACATCATGATCATGTGAGGCAGAAATATATATCCTGAAG